GCACCAGTGACCTCGTTGTTACGGTGGGTGCTTCGGCGCCCGTTTTCCTCCTCACTTCACCTCACCTCACCACCTCCTCACCTCACCTCACCTCACCAGGAACTTACGATCCCCAGCCTCTCTTACGACCTATCGAGCCTTCTGCTCAGACAACGAGTCAGTTGAGAACCCGAGGCTCACCTCTCCGAGGTTCACATAGGTTAATTCAGTTCTGAGTCCCTAGACCCATCTACACAGGCCGCACAAAGTGGTCTAATTTCTGGACACTGAATAATGTAATGTTGGAGCAGCTATTTATATATATTATATATATATATATATATATATTATATATATATATATATATATATATATATATATATATATGTCGTGCCTAGCTATATATATATATATATATATATATAATATATAATATATATATATATATATATATATATATATATATATATATATATATATATATGTAATATATATACACGCTGACTTACCATTGACAGTGTCGATAATCAACACATAATTTTGGAAAACCATTTTATTGAATAATTATAAGCTGAGAAATTTGTATACAATATCGGAATAATAATAATAATAATACATTTTTCACTCAGGTTTTGTACCATGTAAAGTGAAGATGAAAATAAATAGGCATAAATAATTATCTTATTTATTCGTTCATAAATTTGTCTATTTAAAACATATTTTTCACATATTATGAGGTGAATGTTTTCCGTTTTTAACATTCATTTTATTCCTATTTAATATCTTTCTTCACATTCAATTTGTGGTGGTCGTTGGGTAAGGGAACTAGGGGACTAGGGGAAAGCGCCAAGCCATTACGACTATATAGCCTTAGGAAGGGGGTAAGGATAAGGATTTGAGATGGGATGGGGAGGAGGAAAGGAATGGTGGCCCAACCACTTGTGGACGGTCGGGGATTGAACGCCGACCTGCTTGTAGCGAGACCGGCAATCCTCAAATTTCTTTGTGCTCAGTAGTGGAGAGTTTGCGTGAGGTTGTTGTTGTTATAGATTCAGCTACTCGAAACAAGTTCCAAGTAGCACGGGCTATGGCGAGCCCGTAGTGGACCTACCTGGCACAGGAGCCGTGCTGTGTGTGTTGCGTGAGGGAAACCATATCTTATTGTTGCAGGAGCCGGTCGGCCGAGCGGACAGCACGCTGGACTTGTGATCCTGTGGTCCCGGGTTCGATCCCGGGCGCCGGCGAGAAACAATGGGCAGAGTTTCTTTCACCCTATGCCCCTGTTACCTAGCAGTAAAATAGGTACCTGTGTGTTAGCAGTCACGGGCTGCTTCCTGGGGGTGGAGGCCTGGTCGAGGACCGGGCCGCGGGGACACTAAAGCCCCGAAATCATCTCAAGATAACCTCAAGATAACCTCAAGATAAGAGACGGCGTGCGCGCGCCCCACATGAGGAAGAGTCGCTACTAGGGTTCACAGCTCTGTGGCGCTGAGAACTCACGCACTTCTGTCAATTTTTTTTGTAATATTCACTCAAGGTAATGCGTATATTTTGATGGTTAATGACAGGAATTTTTAGCAGCAGCCATGATGGTGGTAATGACTGGACGCCCTGGTGTGTGACGTCACGCTGGGGGGGGGGAAGGGTTGGGATACTCCTTGTTAATTCATGCACGCAACACACACGGGTCGGTTGAGAGGCGGGACCAGAGAGCCGAAGCTCAACGCCCGCAAATACAACCAGGTGGGTGCGCGTACCACAGAGATATTAGAAAGAACTTTTTTAGTGTCAGAGTGGTTGATAAATGGAATGCATTAGGCAGTGATGTGGTGGAGGCTGACTCGATACACAGTTTCAAGTGTAGATATGATAGAGCCCAGTAGACTCAGGAATCTGTACACCAGTTGATTGACGGTTGAGAGGCGGGACCAAAGAGCCAGAGTTCAACCCCCGCAAACACAACTAGGTGAGTACTCACTCTTACTCCTAACGGCACGCTTCTATCCTGCAAGATATGTAACAGACTCAGCGTGTGCTCACATACACGGCTCTCCTCCTCCTGCTGCTGTGAGAGGGTCTCTCACTGCTGGACCTCTGCGCCATACCCATGCTCATTTTTTCTTTATTTAATAAAATACAATATAAATAATATATACATAAATTTTACAAGGCAATACTACATTACATATACAGTAGTATAATTCGCAGTTAGCTAACAGTTGTACTCCGACCGCCAAACAAGGCAACAACAACAACATTATTTTTACTACGTGAAGCACTAGGGTTGTTATGACGTTAAAGTTACGTTGTTATGACGTTAAAGTTACGTTGTTATGACGTTAAAGTTACGTTGAGCGTCCTGGGATGTACGGTCTCAATTAGTGGAAACCGTCAGACTATGTTAAGCTAAGCTACTCGGAAGTTCCAAGTAGCACGGGCTATGGTGAGCCCGTAACTTACCTGGCATAGGAGCGGGGCAAGTAGCATGGGCTATGGTGAGCCCGTAACTTACCTGGCATAGGAGCGGGGCAAGTAGCATGGGCTATGGTGAGCCCGTAACTTACCTGGCATAGGAGCGGGGCAAGTAGCACGGGCTATGGTGAGCCCGTGGTGGACTTACCCGGCACGGGAGCGGTGCTGCGTCAGACTAACTTAAATCCTGCTTTTAAGTGAGTAAATTATGATTTCTTGGAAGTATATACTTGTACATATTTCTCAGAAATCATTTTCTAGTACCATTGTCCAACTACCATTATCTATAACCCACTTTCTAATATGAGAAGAATTGTCGTACAAGAGAATGGCAACTGCTCGCGAAACGGACATAATGTCCCGTTTTCTATTCGTGGGTTCTCTGGTAGCTTAGGATAGGGTACTTCAGTACGATAGTTTCTTGACGTGTGGAACGCTCTCGAGAACGGGCTGCACAACCAGCTCAGGCACTCAAAGGAGAGGGGCAATGGTGCCACTTCTTAAACTTAGTACTTAAGGAAACAGGCTGGAAAATCTTATTGACCAGACCACACACTAGAAGGTGAAGGGACGACGACGTTTCGGTCTGTCTTGGACCATTCTCAAGTCGATTGGTCAACTTACTTTAGCCACGTTATTGTGACTCATCGCCTGCATATGGAAAACCTTTTATTCAGATAATTATGTATTGTTGGACCCCATCTTCACATCAGATCCATTGCCATAGGAACCCCCCACCCCCTTGAAAACGCCTGGATAGCCATCTAGATATTTGTGATAACCTGAAAGTCTATTATGATTCTCGTTATCGTTTTCATTGGACATCTTCAATAGTCGTAATGGACATCTTCAAGAGGAAACTAGATTGTTTCCTGCAAGGAGTGCCGGACCAACCGGGCTGTGGTGGGTATGCGGGCCTGCGGGCCGCTCCAAGCAACAGCCTGGTGGACCAAACTCTCACAAGTCAAGCCTGGCCTCGGGCCGAGCTTGGGGGAGTAGAAGAACTCCCAGAACCCCATCAACCAGGTATCAACCAGTCTACATGTAAACTGGCAAATGAACATTTGTCGTAAACAGAGATTATTCTCAAGTTATAACGTTGTTGTATTATAAATCGTTGGTTTAAAATATGAAAAGTGCATGCTGAAAGCGTTTTCTTTGAAGAATTTGGTTTTCTGTAAAGGGAATTATCAGGCACAATGAAATAGTTTTGGAATTCTATATATGACCTTATCGTCAATAATTCACAATACTAAAGTAACCAAACATAGTGAAACCTAACCTAAACAAACCTTAACCTAACCTAACCTTAACCTAACCTAACCACGGATAGAGGGTAGATAATAGCACTAATTATGTAGTCGTTCCCAATCCATTCCCTTGAGTGGGTCTCCTCCCTGATCTCAGGTTGATTGTGGTCACGTGTTGTGCTTCATGATTGTTTATGCTTGTAGGTGATTGTTGGATATCAATTAGTGAAGTTATTTAACAAATGTGTTAAGTTGTTGTTAAAGATTTAGCAACTCAGGACGAAGTGTCCATGTAGCACGGGCTATGGTGAGCCCGTACATGTGTTAAGAGATCCACAGCCTTTAATAGCAGTTATTTTGATTTGGCAACAAGAAGTGGCCATTTGCCACAGCTGCTCCTCTGTTTAAAAGTCAATAGCAGTGTGAACTTTAGAAGAGGTAGGATGTCTTTATCATTCATCTGTTTCTCTCTAAATATTACCAAAAAAATCAGTTTAGTGTATATTGTGTCTATAGGTAATTCTAGTGCTACTGATTTTTTTTTCTCATGTGAATCAGGTATGATTAATTAATATATTATGAAATACTTTTGAGTGTTAATCTCATAGACTTTTTCTGGACTTAAGTGTTTCTTGGTGCTAGTAAGATTTTGTCTGTGCTGAATTTACACATTCATTCCTCCATACTAGAACTGGGAACTTACTAGAACATACTAGAACTGGGAGGAACCTATGGCAACATTACTGGTTATCCACAGTGTTGCCATAACTTCCTCCCAGTTCTAGTATGCAGGAATGAATGTGTAAATGAAGCACAGACAACAACAAAAAGGTTTTCAATATGTAATACAGTGATAATTCGTTACAGGTATTCATACTGTACCGTTTTTCCCCCTCCATGTGGAAAATTATGTGAGTTTTTGACAATTTTAATATATTCACTCCAAGCTGTGTTCGGGGCCGAGGCGGAGAGTATAGCTTTAGATTTTGGTTCTTTATTCAGGTAAAGATAAATACATTGAGTTACATATATAATGTTGGATTTAAAGATAGAGATAGTACATATGTTAGTACTCAAATTGTACGAAGAATGCCGTCAGAGGCTTACTCAACTGTAATTGGCTATTCCCAACCGTCGTACAATATGAGTACTAACACATACAATACCTAAAGCCACTAGTACGAATAGCGTTTCGGGCAATTTCGGGCGTTTCGTATAGTTGAGGTTTAGAATAGTAGCTATCCTGGTGTAGTGTCCCGCAGTATGCAATAGAGAAAGATGGGTAATTGATGATGGGCATCAATAGAGAGAGTCTATTGATGATGGGTCATCAATAGAGTCTATTGATGATGGGTCATCAATAGGGTCTATTGATGATGGGTCATCAATAGAGTCTATTGATGATGGGTCATCAATAGGGTCTATTGATGATGGGTCATCAATAGAGTCTATTGATGATGGGTCATCAATAGAGTCTATTGATGATGGGTCATCAATAGAGTCTATTGATGATGGGTCATCAATAGAGGTAATTAATCAGCAACGATTTTTTAACATTTACTTAGAGAAAACTAAACAATAGTTGATAATAAATGACATGCTGACATGACGCAGCTTATCAGTACTAACAGGATTTAGCTCCGAGCAACAACTAAGGAAATCTTGTCTCAAAGATTACATAAACTCGTGGTAATTATGTGCATACAAGGAGCTCCTTGGAGACTCATAAATATAATCCCTATAATAAATTATATAAATATAATCTGCATCTCCTTCAGAGATGCAGATTATACTGCACCAAGAAACACTTAAACATCCTTCAGAGATGCAGACTTTTCTTAGGATTTAAACTTAGCTTAAACTTAGGGAGCCGGTCGGCCGAGCGGACAGCACGCTGGACTTGTGATCCTGTGGTCCCGGGTTCGATCCCGGGCGCCGGCGAGAAACAATGGGCAGAGTTTCTTTCACCCTATGCCCCTGTTACCTAGCAGTAAATTAGGTACCTGGGTGTTATTCAGCTGTCACGGGCTGCTTCCTGGGGTTGGAGGCCTGGTCGAGGACCGGGCCGCGGGGACACTAAAGCCCCGAAATCATCTCAAGATAACCTCAAGATAGCTGCAACCACCATAAATAACGTGATCAACAATGCAATATAGTCAGGTCAGCTCTTTGATATATTATGTCCAATCCAAATATTATGATATAATCCAAATTAGTGTAACAAAATCCCCCATTAGTGTAACCTGGCAGGGGCCTGACAGCTGAGTGGACAGCGCTCGGGATACGAGGTCCTGAGGTTCCGGGTTCGATCCCCGGTGAAGGCGGAAACAACTGGGCAGAGTTTCTTTCACCCCTGATGTAAATAGGTTTATCTAGCAGTGAATAGGGACCTGTGAGCTAGACAGCTGCTAGGGGCTACTTCCTGGGTATGGGTAACAAAAATGAGGCCTGGTCGAGGACCGGGCCACGGGGACGCTAAGCCCCGAAAACACGCCTCTCACAATTCACTCAAGATCGGTGAGGTAAAGTGCCTAGTTAAGTAGGCTTGGACCTACTTAACTATCCAAGTAGTGTCCCACAGTGTACTGTGTCAATCACCATCCCTCATACTCACCATGCCTCATACTCACCATCTCTCATACTCACCATGCCTCATACTCACCATCCCTCATACTCACCATCCCTCATACTCACCATCCCTCATACTCACCATCCCTCATACTCACCATCTCTCATACTCACCATCTGGGTCATGAGTCCCTTGTACTCATGAGTCCCTTGGGTCTAGCTCCTGTAAGGCCCCATGTTGAGCTCACTCAGTCTTTGTTGTCTGGTTAAGTTAAAGACTGTCAAGCACGAGGTTAAAGACTGTCAAGCACTAGGTTAAAGACTGTCAAGCACTAGGTTAAAGACTGTCAAGCACTAGGTTAAAGACTGTCAAGCACTCGGTTAAAGACTGTCAAGCACGAGGATAAAGACTGTCAAGCACGAGGAGGTTAAAGACTGTCAAGCACGAGGTTAAAGGCTGTCAAGCACGAGGTTAAAGACTGCCAAGCACGAGGTTAAAGACTGTCAAGCACGAGGTTAAAGACTGTCAAGCACGAGGATAAAGACTGTCAAGCACGAGGTTAAAGACTGTCAAGCACGAGGTTAAAGGCTGCCAAGCACGAGGTTAAAGACTGTCAAGCACGAGGAGGTTAAAGACTGTCAAGCACGATGTTCAAGACTGTCAAGCACCAAGTTCAAGACTGTCAAGCACTAGGTTAAAGACTGTCAAGCACTAGGTTAAAGATTGTCAAGCACTAGATTAAAGACTGTCAAGCACGAGGTTAAAGACTGTCAAGCACTAGGTTAAAGACTGTCAAGCACTAGGTTAAAGACTGTCAAGCACTAGGTTAAAGACTGTCAAGCACGATGTTAAAGACTGTCAAGCACGATGTTAAAGACTGTCAAGCACGAGGATAAAGACTGTCAAGCACGAGGTTAAAGGCTGTCAAGCACCAGGTTAAAGACTGTCAAGCACCAGGTTAAAGACTGTCAAGCACTAGGTTAAAGACTGTCAAGCACTAGGTTAAAGACTGTCAAGCACTAGGATAAAGGCTGTCAAGCACTAGGTTAAAGACTGTCAAGCACCAGGTTAAAGACTGTCAAGCACTAGGTTAAAGACTGTCAAGCACTAGGTTAAAGACTGTCAAGCACCAGGTTAAAGACTGTCAAGCACTAGGTTAAAGACTGTCAAGCACCAGGTTAAAGACTGTCAAGCACTAGGTTAAAGACTGTCAAGCACCAGGTTAAAGACTGTCAAGCACTAGGTTAAAGACTGTCAAGCACTAGGTTAAAGACTGTCAAGCACTAGGATAAAGGCTGTCAAGCACTAGGTTAAAGACTGTCAAGCACGAGGTTAAAGACTGTCAAGCACCAGGTTAAAGACTGTCAAGCACGAGGATAAAGACTGTCAAGCACGAGGTTAAAGACTGTCAAGCACGAGGATAAAGACTGTCAAGCACGAGGATAAAGACTGTCAAGCACGAGGTTAAAGACTGTCAAGCACGAGGATAAAGACTGTCAAGCACCAGGTTAAAGACTGTCAAGCACCAGGTTAAAGACTGTCAAGCACGAGGATAAAGACTGTCAAGCACCAGGTTAAAGACTGTCAAGCACCAGGTTAAAGACTGTCAAGCACCAGGTTAAAGACTGTCAAGCACCAGGTTAAAGACTGTCAAGCACCAGGTTAAAGACTGTCAAGCACCAGGTTAAAGACTGTCAAGCACCAGGTTAAAGACTGTCAAGCACCAGGTTAAAGACTGTCAAGCACGAGGATAAAGACTGTCAAGCACCAGGTTAAAGACTGTCAAGCACCAGGTTAAAGACTGTCAAGCACCAGGTTAAAGACTGTCAAGCACCAGGTTAAAGACTGTCAAGCACGAGGTTAAAGACTGTCAAGCACTAGGTTAAAGACTGTCAAGCACCAGGTTAAAGACTGTCAAGCACTAGGTTAAAGACTGTCAAGCACGAGGATAAAGACTGTCAAGCACCAGGTTAAAGACTGTCAAGCACCAGGTTAAAGACTGTCAAGCACGAGGATAAAGACTGTCAAGCACGAGGTTAAAGACTGTCAAGCACTAGGTTAAAGACTGTCAAGCACCAGGTTAAAGACTGTCAAGCACTAGGTTAAAGACTGTCAAGCACCAGGTTAAAGACTGTCAAGCACCAGGTTAAAGACTGTCAAGCACGAGGATAAAGACTGTCAAGCACGAGGTTAAAGACTGTCAAGCACGAGGTTAAAGACTGTCAAGCACGAGGATAAAGACTGTCAAGCACGAGGATAAAGACTGTCAAGCACGAGGATAAAGACTGTCAAGCACGAGGTTAAAGGCTGTCAAGCACCAGGATAAAGACTGTCAAGCACCAGGTTAAAGACTGTCAAGCACGAGGTTAAAGACTGTCAAGCACCAGGATAAAGACTGTCAAGCACCAGGTTAAAGACTGTCAAGCACCAGGTTAAAGACTGTCAAGCACGAGGATAAAGACTGTCAAGCACCAGGTTAAAGACTGTCAAGCACCAGGTTAAAGACTGTCAAGCACGAGGATAAAGACTGTCAAGCACCAGGTTAAAGACTGTCAAGCACGAGGTTAAAGACTGTCAAGCACGAGGATAAAGACTGTCAAGCACCAGGTTAAAGACTGTCAAGCACCAGGTTAAAGGCTGTCAAGCACGAGGTTAAAGACTGTCAAGCACGAGGATAAAGACTGTCAAGCACGAGGATAAAGACTGTCAAGCACGAGGATAAAGACTGTCAAGCACGAGGTTAAAGACTGTCAAGCACGAGGATAAAGACTGTCAAGCACGAGGATAAAGACTGTCAAGCACGAGGATAAAGACTGTCAAGCACGAGGATAAAGACTGTCAAGCACGAGGATAAAGACTGTCAAGCACGAGGTTAAAGACTGTCAAGCACGAGGATAAAGACTGTCAAGCACGAGGATAAAGACTGTCAAGCACGAGGATAAAGACTGTCAAGCACGAGGATAAAGACTGTCAAGCACGAGGATAAAGACTGTCAAGCACGAGGATAAAGACTGTCAAGCACGAGGATAAAGACTGTCAAGCACGAGGATAAAGACTGTCAAGCACGAGGATAAAGACTGTCAAGCACGAGGATAAAGACTGTCAAGCACCAGGTTAAAGACTGTCAAGCACGAGGATAAAGACTGTCAAGCACGAGGATAAAGACTGTCAAGCACGCTTCCACACAATCACTGGAGTTGAGGAAACATTACAACTGATCACAACTCCTCGCCAAGTAAAGTAAAATAGGTACCTGGGTGTTAGTCAGCTGTCACGGGCTGCTTCCTGGGGGTGGAGGCCTGGTCGAGGACCGGGCCGCGGGAACACTAAAGCCCCGAAATCATCTCAAGATTACCTCAAGAAGTGTATATTGACCACATGACTCTGAGTCTCCTGGGGCTTGCTGCCTCACCAAATACTTATTCACCAACTTTCTCTTTGCAGCGATGGGTGTGGGGAGCCTGGGCAGACTCCCTCACTTTCCCTTCAGAAAGCTCCGGCGTTATTGCATCACTTTCACACACTAATAACGGGATGCTGGCGACCAGTTGGGCCAGAGGGGAAGGCAGACCAGCGTGGGAGCATCGTAAGGGAGAGCACTTAACTCCAAGATACCCTGTGGGTCACCTTGTCTCAGTCTTAATCTTAACTTCTAAGAAATAGTGAATATTGCACATGGGTAATGACTATTAATATACATTACCGAGCTTCATGAAGTCATTCTGAAGCGTTGAGGGCTATCACCACTCTATTACACCGTGGGCCTGATGGCTGAGTGGACAGCGCTCGGGGTTCGTAGTCCTGAGGTTTCGGATTCGATCCCCGGTGAAGGCGGAAACAAATGGGTAGAGTGAACAAATCCACAAGGGCCGTGACGAGGATTCGAACCTGCGTCCGGGAGCGTCCCAGACAGTGGACGCAGGATCGAATCCT